GATTTATTTTATGGTGTCCTTGTTACAGTGTAATTATACCTTTAAGTACTGAGTAATATTAATTAACTACATGTACTTACTATATGGTTAGGGTTACTTGCATGTAATTATGCATAATTCATTGTTATTACAATAGTAAGTACATGTAACGTGTAACAAGGACACCTTAAAATACATTTTATTTTAAATATTAAATATAAACAGATGTACAAAAAGTACTAAAATTAAAACCGAAATACAATGAAATCTATACAGAACTACTTTTAAAACAAACTAATAAAATGCCAAAAGGACCTAACAAAGTTGCTAAAACAAACTAAAATTAATATGAAAACTGAAAATGAAGATAAAAGATAACTCAAAATATTAATAAACACCATATTAGTATCTAAACAATGCTGAAATAACACTACATTAAATTAAAATACACTAAAAACAAAATGATTAAAAAAAAAAATGTTGTGGTGAAATATGACACCTGTCTTCATGCTAATTAAAATTCACTTGATTCATGATTTTAAAAAACTGAACCACACCAATGCTCATAAAGACCAATGTGACAATGAGCAGTCAACATAAAGAGCGGCTGCCCTCTTTTGGTCTGTACAGGAAGCGCAGCAGGGCTCAGGAGGAAGAAGATCCCTCAGTTTAAGAGGCTGGTATAAGTTCCACCTGCAGACTGATCTGAGGTCAGTTTTCTCACTCCTGCCTTTGCGGCTGCTCTGAATATCATTATCAGCTCTCAATCTGATTGTCAGGACTGAGCCCAGATCAGTGCCGAGGGGAAACGTCAGTGCAGGCAGTGACAGGAAGTGAGAAGATGAGCAGTGCTACTCTACCTGACGCTGAGTTCACGCTGTGCCACCGCGAGGAGAGCAAGAGGGGAGGAGAGAACAATCCAGTGCGGTGAGGAAGCACGGCCAAACAAAACGTGTCACAGCAGTATTACAGAAAATGAGCAGGCCCACACAAAGGGACTTTTGGAGCTGATTTTAGGAAAAAAATCTCAGATTCTATGGAATGATTTCATTGAGCTGAGAGTATTACTTTCTTATTGATAGTTGAAAATATCATCAAACTGATCAAAATATTTAGCAAACATGGAAAAGGCCGAGAAACATGTACAGCTTTGAAAGACGAGTGTTTGAATTTTGATGAAATCTGTGGGTGCAGATTCCCTGTGGGCCTGGAAATGAGTTACATCATTTCCTGTTTAATATTACAGTCAGTGATACAAACCACATGACAAGTCAAATATTAGTCCACTACAAAGCATTCTCAATCCAAAATGCACAAGCGTTACGCCGCACACCGATTATTGCTCTAATAAATCGCAGGAAAAACATTTAGGAGGAAACATGAATATCATTTTCATAATAAAAAAAAAACACATTGCTGCATTATAAAGGAAACTGTAAAGATGTCTCACAAGGAATAAGAAACTTCTTTGATAATTAAAATGTTGATTTTCTCCTGAAATGTATAGCAATATTTAAATTAATATATTATTTTTAATTTAATATTATAAAATCTAAGTTAATTAAAATGTTATTACTATTCATAATCATAAATTATATTTATTATATTTTCTTTCCTCATTTAGTTCAAGACCATATGTTCTTGAACGGAATTAATTTACCTCCCATTATCTGTTAAAATAACAAAATAATATATTTAATTTTACATTTAAAAAAAAAAATGTAATGGTAAATGTATTGTAATTATACATTTAATAAAAAAATTAACACAAAATGTCAATTTACAAATGTCAACAAAACTTCTGAATGGTAGTTTTAAATTAGTTCAAATTTTTTTATATTAACTTTACAATTAAATATTATAGTTATTAACTATAGTTATATTTTATATTTCTGTTAAAATCATATTAAATAGGTGGCCTGGAATATTGTGTTTGACAATGGGGAGCCTTCAAGACAACAGAAGGAGAGCAGAACTTGGTCAACAATAGGCGCGTTTCCATTACAGATTTGCGCAAAACTTTGGCGATATTTTCTGAATGTCGATAAAAAAGTATTGCGAAATGACGGCGTTTCCATTAACCAATGTTATGCGGCTAAAACGTAACCTTTTGCCTCTCGCGATAAATGAGTTTACAAGTAAAATAAAATATTTCATCCAGAAGGGGGCGATATTTGACATCTGAAATTCTTCATAACCAGAACCACTATGATGAAATGATTGCTAGACATTAAAATAAATCTTCTGAAGGTGTCTGTTGATCTTACCTCCTCCAGCTGACTGTGAACGTGCTGCACTATAAGATCAATGGCCACCATGTTGCCGCCACCTACAGGAAATAAAGACAGGAGTGTAGGAGTTCCAACTAAGCATTACTAAATCAGACTAGCACTACTGCTACAGTATGCAACTGCCATAAAGTGCAGTGCAAAACAGAGCACACTGTATCCCACAATGCAATGTGCTTGACATCTGTCAAAGCAAACTGACCACGTGGCACCACGATATCTGCCAGCCTCATGGTGGGCTCGATGTACTGTTCAAAGGCTGGCTTCACAAACTTGTTGTACTGTTTGATCACTCCATCGATGTCCCGGCCGCGCTCTGTGATGTCCCTCCTGAGCCTCCGTACCAGCCGGATGTCAGAATCTGTGTCCACAAAGATCTTCATGTCTAGCAGCTGAAACACAGACAGACGACGCTCCAGATCAGGTCATTGAGATGGTGGAGAAAAACAAGAAAGATCCACATTATGACAGATTTGATGAGGTTTACCTTCAGCAGCTCTTTATCTGCAAATGACATGATGCCCTCAAATATAATGACGCTGGCCCCATACACCGTTTTCTGCAAGCAGATAAACACTGATTAAAAATAGCAGCAAAAATTGTTTTCAGCAAAACAGTTATTCCTTGTATTATTATTTTGTGATTCTAGTTAGAAAGTAAACTTTAAATCATGTTTTAGCACACAGGCTTCTTATAAATCCTGATGAAGGCCTGTGTGCTGAAATGCTCAGATTATATGATGTAATATTAAAGTTAATTAAAAAGCGAATGCAGCTTTTATTAGCTTCTGTTAGTTAAAGACTAGAGGTTAGCGATTTTTTGTTTGTATATAACAGGGCTTATTAAAGGTTTGGCCTTTGACCTAAAATATTAACTTCAAGTACTCCTGATTTTAAGGCAATATTTTAATAATGTAAATACCGTATTGGCCCGAATATAAGACGACCCTAATTATAAGACGACCCCCCTTTTTCCAGATGTACCTTTTGGAAAAAGGCTTTTTAAAACCAAATTTTTTTTTTCTCAGTAAAACACATTTTGTCTTCAATTATTATCATATTGCATATTTGTCCCATTTTAATTTTTGTTTTGAAAGTACGGTAAAAACTGGTCAAATGTACCAACAATCACATTTAAAAAATATACACTTAATGTTGTGGGTGTATTATTGACATGTCAAAGTCTAGACCCTGAATATAAGACGACCGCGTTTTTTCAGATGTATTTCCAAGAAAAAAACATTGTCTTATATTCGGGACAATACGGTACATTTGCATGCTCACGGCTCTCTGGTGTCGGTTTTTTGTTTTTAAAATGGCTTATTTTACTTTTACATGTTTATGATTTAATTATTATTTAAAATGATTTATTTTCAGTTTATATTTTTATGATAATTTTTTTTTCATTTATTACTTTTTGCAATTATTTATTTTTAATATAAAATGTATGATTTATTTATTTTTTTAATATGGTTTTAATTTTACAATTTTAATGGATTTTTAAATTATTCATTTAAATTAGTAAATTATGATTTAATTTAATATTTGTATGATTTAATTATTAAAAAAATATTTGAATTGTCACATTTTATGATTTAAATATTAATTTTTTATTTATTTTAATTTAATATTTTAAAGACTTAATTATATTTACAATGATTTATTTTACATATAATTATTCATTTACATATTTATGATTTAATTTACATAACATTTATTTTCATTTTAAGTTTTTACGATTTCATTGATTATTTATTTTTAAAATGTATTTTAGTTTTTACATTTTTATGGTTTCTTTAATTAATAGCCTTTTCCATCAACTCACAACCTAGTTTAGGAATTTAACAAAAAAGTCGACTTATAAATGTAGCTCGCCACTTGTTCAAAAGGTATCTTTATTGCCATTTTTAAATCAGAAACCAGCTTCCAAGCAGCTTCCCCAACACTGATAATTTACATAAACATGACACTTTAAGCAAATCAGAGTAGAAAAATGAGGAACAACAAACCCACAAATTAGGTTGATCTGACATGGGCTTCCACACGATCAGCTCAGCTCCACGCTCTGTGTGTTTCCACTCACCCACTCTTTCTGCCGTCCGTGTGTGGTGAAGTCATACACCGGGATCTTCACGCTCTTGCCCTGCTTGAGTTTGCGGAGAGTGTGCACCAGCAGGCTGAAATCAAAGGCGTCTGGATGGTCAAAGTTGTAATCGTTATTAGCAGCCAACAGCTGCTGTTCGGCTGTCAGAACCTGCAGGAAAGACGTCACAGCAGACGCGCCAAGGTTACACCTCTGACTTCAGCTCAAATCTCAGCTCAGAGATCAAGGCTGCTAACTGAAAGCTCGTAGGTTCAAAACAGACAAGGACTGATCCATGAACTCACTGTCCTTGAGCAAGGTTCCTCCACATAGTTGCCATTGCAAATCATGCATTTAATAAATGTTACAAGCTATGAGTGTTTGTGCATTACACTGGTTTTACCACAGGTACGACGTGCTGTTAGACATGATGTAAAGGGGTAAACTATGGTAAAAATCACTGTAACACACAGCCATACTTCAATATAAATGACAGCAATGAAAGCAATCTGATGATACACGGAGGAAAAATTATTATTATTACTGCAGATTATCATCTACCAGGCAAATGTTTGGTGTCAGATTTTAAAAAGCTAAATTAATACTTTTATCCAGCAAGGATGCATTAAATTGATCAAAAGTGACAATAAAAGACATTTATAATGTAAAAAGATTTCTATTTCAAATAAAGGCTGCCGTTTTGAATTTCCTATTAATAAAAAAAAAAAAAACACTATTTATGCAAAAATATGAAGCAGCACAACTGTTTTCAATATTAATAGCAATAAGAAATGTTTATTAAGCAGTAAGTCAGCAAATTTTAATGATTTCTGAAGGATCTGAAGACTTGAGTGAAATTCAGCTTTGCATCACAGGAATAAATTACACTTTAAAATATATCCAAAAAAGAAAGCAGTTATTTTTCATTTTAATAATATTTGACAATAATATTGAATTGTTTTTACTGTATTTTTGATTAAATAAATGTAGCATAAAATCATAAATGCTAAGCATCAAAGACAAAACGTTAAGAAAATAAATAAAATAAATAAAAATATTAACAAATAACTCAATAAATTGCACTCACACCTTTTGACCAATACAGTAGTCGACATTTGAAGTGGATCAAAGAAGTTCATCAAAGTTGTCCTAAGACAAGAATGCATTTTGGTTTTAGATTTTAGGACAACTTTGATTAAACGTTTTGATCCACTTCAAATGTTGACTAGTGTACATTTCCATGATTTTTAAAAATCGAGCAATTAAAAAAAATAATAAATAAACATTTTGTAGAGATATAGTGGCTAGATATTATTTGTGAAGGCAAAAAAAAAAAAGTTGTAAGAATTTTTAGAATTGTATTGTTTTCCACAATTTCAAAAAAATATAATTAAGACAAAAATTAGACATTAGGTTGTTTTATAAACAACAATATTAAGTATAATTAAGTAATTCCAGTGTGAACTGTCTATATACTGTATGAGTTGTATGCATTTTCAAGTAATATTTTCCAGACAAGAGAACATCTTGAAACACCCTCCAATCTTCAAGGAGGGATATATTTTCCGTCTTTAAGCTACAAGTTGAATGTTTTTGCCACCCTGCATGCAGACAGCAAATGAAGTGTGTGGTATCATTATCCCCCGTCCTCTCGTCAGGCACATGGCTAAGGTCAGCTGAACTAAATTTAGGAGGAACATTTCACACAGGTACGTGTACACAAACACACACTCACAGGCCATTTACTGCTTTAGCTGTGTGATTCTGCCTTTCTCTTCAGATATACAACAGCTGATAAACTGTTCAAACAAATGCCTAACTAGTCTAGAATAGCGGCTCTGATCCACCTGACAGACTCAACACAGTGTCATTCACATTCCTCACATGACAGAGTGAATGGCCTTTTAGCACAGCTCACTCAAACATCATAAAGACATAACGGCTTGTGTTTTAACGCTGCAGGCCACAGTAAAGACGAGCTTGAGTTTCTCAGCACACCTGAGATTCCTCACTGTGCTGTAAAGTCACTAGCTGCCTCAAAGATTTAATGGATTATATAACTCAAAGCACACTAATGGCTCGTGTCCACGCTCTCGCTCTCTCTTTATGAGAACAGATGCATGAAATGTTTCATACTGTCTCTCTGGATAGAGCTTTTATATTCTCACATCAGGATGATGGTTAACGAACTAGAATTTCCACACAGATTTTCACAAAATTAAAAAATATGACACTTTACCGGTCACGTTTTTAGACACACTTGTCTGAAATTATGCTTAAACTTTCAAAGAAGAAACTCAAATATAAGATATTTCTGATTTAAGTCAATTAAACCAGTCAAGTAGATTCCCAAACAACAAGTACCCGAGTCTGACTACACGGCTGGATTCAAAAAGTAGTAGTATATATTTATTTAATGCCATGTCAGCATCTTTGGCTATTTTCATGGCAAAATCAATTAAAAACAGCAAACAAACAAGTTATATTACACAAGATTTTTTTACATTAACATATGATAAAAATTCTAAAACTTTTTCTGGCAAAATTATACTAAACTCTTTAAGTGAGTTCACTTCCTAAAAGAGTTTTCTACATACATTAAAAGCTGGACAGTCCAATAAAATATGTTTGACAGAAAGGGGAATCTTGCAAAACATGCATTGAGTAGGGTGCCGGATTCACAAAACATGCAATAAAATAATTACACATTTTAGAATATTTTGTATTCAATAAAACATTTCTTAAGTATGTCATCTTTTTTCTTAAGATTGTTCTAAAGAGAAAACTTAAGAATTTGAAGTGCTGGACAGAAAAATCATCGTACTGTAAATAACCTCTAAAAGCTAGAATTTAGAGAGTTAGAACCTCCAACTTGTCTTAAAATCCACAAAACTATTTATTTAATTTATTGGGTCGTTTCAAATATTTAGCATTACAACATGACACTAACTAGATATACATATAATCGGGGCCTAAAACTAACATTTTGCCACACCTGACAATGTTCGTGACTAGAGAAAATTTACTGGCCATGAAACTGTGTGCATTACTTCATTAAAACAGGCAAAACTATTAGGGGAAACACATCTAATTGCAATTTTTATGACCAGTTCATATTTTTATTTCTCTTTCTTTCTTTCTTATTTTAATTAATTCAATAAAAATATATTATAATACTTTGAACTTTGTATAATAACAATAATTAAAAAAATATTTTTTCTTTAACATTTTCAGCTATAGAGCTTTTACTTTGGTGAAAATCTGCAGGGAAACTTCTCTTTTAAAATGTTTCTCTTTTTCTGACATCAGATTTATAAACCATTCTCACTATAAACTTGGGGGACGTCTTGCGCATGTTGCATTTTTAAATTCACTTTATAAGAGACTCAAACTCAGAGTACTTGCGGAGACAGAGCTCGTGTGGAGCCGCATTTACCGCAAACTCCTCCGAGAGACTGAACACACGTATCATGAGCAGATCACGTGAAAAGATCACAGCGTTTCACTCTGAAACACGAAGCGCAGCAGATATTTATATAATTACAATGCAGTCTTCGCGGTTTGATAATTGTCCCAAACCATATCGCATTTGCAGGCATTGTTAGAATTAATAGAAAAAGGTTACCGACCTACAGGCAAGTAACACTTTTTCATATACTTGCCAACGCTGACGTAATGCATATTACATAATGCCCTGCACATAATACATATTACTATTACTAGGGATTAGTGCAACATTACAATGATCGGCCATGATTATACATGATGTGACTTTTTCCTGAATTCCAATTCAGCAACAACTCTATGAAAAATTTCTGAATATATATTTGAATATATATTTTGGTCCGCTCAGTAAATATGAGACTGTACATAGACAGGACACATTCACATTCGCCCACTGAAAGTCTGATGCATAAGACACAAAATGGGAAGCACTTTGGGAGTTTCAAAGTCATCATCTGATTGGTTGAATTCTCCAAGATTTCAAGATAATGTGTGTGGTGTTTTTTTTTTTTTAATGGTCTGCCTGGAAACGAAAACGTTTCATGCGAAACCCCCTCATGGAAGAAGAAAGCTGCTGTTTACAACTGTGGATCATCTAAATGCTGATTTTTCAAAAGTGTGCTAAGTTTATGGCATAGACTCTGCGCCATTGTTGTAGGACGGCTTCTTAGACGGCCATTGACCAATAATAGCTGTGATGGAGCCCAGACCTTCTGCTGTTAGTCTGAAGGTCTGGTTATGCGAGACTACATTCACATCGCTCCATCTTGAGATAGACTTTTTTTAAATAACTATTTAGAATACACAATGCATTAAATAAAGTGAATCCTGCATTAAAAAGTGAATACCCAATCATGACAAAACTAACGTGCACTCTGATTATGATTATTATGGTAATCTGCAGGCAGAGCAAAAAACATAGGCTTTGAGGTGTTTTGAAGGTGAGTTGATTAAAAATAAGATGCTCCTGAGAAAGTAACTGGGAACTTCTTAAGAATTTTCAAGACTTGCACATAGGAACATGCTTATGAAGTACCTTAAATTGATCTTAGGAAGCCACTGCAGCCACTGGAACCTAACAAACCACTGGGTTTTTGGGCCAAATTCGGGTCAGTTTTTCCAAGTACTGCATAACTTCAAGTTTGCCAAGGAATTGTTACAGAAGAAAATATGCATCTATTTCATTATGTCTTAAAGGTTCTGTCAGCCTTTACGGTAATTTCTGCTGTTTCGCTTACTTCAATACCGTAAGTGCTATCTCCAAAACCCTGCCCACAAAAGACATGCCAGCAAAGACGAAGATGCAAAATAAAATCACAGGCAGAGAGTGCGTTTCTCACTGGCCAAAAAAGCATGCCACTCCTCTTTGTACAAAGCTTAGGGCTGTCATAGAAATGGGTGTGATTTCCTAGAACACCCAATTCACTGATATCTGTAGAAGGGACGTTTAGTGCATGAGTGATTTACAATGAGATGACCTGTTACCTTGTAGAAGGAATCCATTGACAGAAGAACCACCCAAGGAACATCCAAGGCCTCGATAATTTTACGAGCAACTGTTGTTTTGCCTGAAGCACTGCCTCCACAAAGCCCTGTGGGTACAAAGAGACCAGTATTGACACGTGATGATGGTTGATGATGATTGTGATTTTTCCTCCCCGGAGCGCTTTAATATACGGACCGATAACAAAAGCTTCTTTGGACTGGGTCCCGTGTTCATTGTACCATGGTGGGCGTCCTGCAGTGTAGATGGTCCTCTTACTGGTCCGCAGCAGTGGAGGCTCTGATTTGCACTGGCTGGTGGTTCGTTTCCGTGGCGACAGGCTGGTGTTGATGGATGGGAGGAGCCTGTCCAGAGATCCTTCCCCACCGCCACTATTAACAAGAGGAAATATGATACAGTGAATGAGACAAGTCACATCCTGCTATTTCCTGTGTGACTTCCTGTACACAAACCAGTTACCAGTTGACTCGGCGACCATCATGACAACGCCTCCATGCATCTATTAACTACCTTTATGTAGGTAACAGGCAGTACAGCTTAATCTATTTCAATGAGGAAACACTGAAAAAAAGATCTGATAACAGTGGCAGCATAAATTTTGTAGTATGGTGTAACCCCTGGCACAAACAACAGCCGCCCGATATTACACTGAACTTAGCCAATGTGTCATCAGTAAATGTGGCACATCATGATCAATAAAACGGAGATAACTGAAATATCAGTGTTGCATAAGCAAACTACAGTATGTCAATGGTGCATTTGTTTGTTGAAGGTTTCTGAGTGCTGGAATGCATTGGTTTCTAAGAGCATTTCTGGAATGAGTCACGAATCAATGAAAGAGATACAAGGTAAAATTGGTGGACGCCTACGAGAGACTCACTGCAGTGTGCATCACACCTTAGGAGCTTAGTAGACCTTATAAGTAGCAAGAAACTGAAAGTTTCAAAGAAAAATACTTACTAAAGCAGGCGAGAAAGCCAAATGTCCACAGAAGATGTGTGCTTGTACTTGTCCATTAAGAAGAAGAAATAAAACAGCCTACTCTCAACTAATCATCTATACGTTTAAAAAGCCAGCCAGATCAAGCGGTGCATGACTGTGTAATACCTAAACATGTTTACATACCACGGTTAACCCAAAATGCCTAGACCTTGGACCTGTGCAACTAAGGTTCAACTGGTAAAACTAGAATAAAGCAAGTTTACTGGGCAGAAAAGATGCATTGTGCGCCTTCGAGTTTCTGTTTGTGTGAATAGAGATCACCTTGGCTTTCTAGTTTATCTGCCCTGCTACAATATGAAAGCATGATAACAGATAAGATGGCAAACGGTGGACCCTGCCCTTGCAGTTTCAGAGCAAAACAAACCACTGTAAAGTATAGTTCGTAAGAGTCTCTCTTAAAGGATTAGTTCACCAAAATTAGTCTGTCTTCATTTTCTGTATGCCTTTCTTTCTTCTGTGGAAAACAAAAGGAGAAATAATAGCAGAATATCCAAGCTGCACTAGAAAATTAAAGATAAGAAAGTGTATGGTGACCAAGGATTTTCAGTAAATAATGTAAATGTAGTTTGTTCCTCACATAGACTTTAAATGCAGTGCCATTTGGACTAAATTTATTAGGGTTTCAAAAAGTTTTATAATGGTAAATTTATGACTTTTTAAAAGGCCTTTTATGACCAAGTAAAGATAATTTAAGTAATATATTGGAGGAAACACAATGTGCCAATATGGTCACTAAATGTAAATGTCTTGTGTTAGCTAAAGATTCAAAGTTTGAAAATACAATTTCCTACAAATCTCCATAACTTTATTTGTTTCTCAAACAAAATAGTTTAAATGGCTTGAATGGCTCTGCTCCCAAACATTAGAATATGAAAATAACTTCTGATAAAAAAAAAAAGTTGTTCCTTTGTATTTTTGTCTTGTTTTCCAGTGCAAAGATTAAAGTGTCTAAAGATTCTTAAATTAATATTGAGACGCAAAATGACATAAGAAGATAGGAAAAGATTAGAGCCCGACCGATATATCGTTTTGCCGATATTATCGGCCGATATGAGCCTGTTGCTGATATATCGGTATCGGCGAATATGCCGCCGATATGAATTTTTTTTTACAGAACATATAACGCAGATAAAATGCTTGAAATGGTGTAATTACTTAGTTTGTCCGGCAGAGCGTGCTCCATTGACCTGGATGAAATGCTTTAAAGCTTACGTCTATGGAAAACCATTTAAACTTTGAACGGCAATATCTCCGTAACAGCGCTGCGAAACCGCAACAAATTCGGGGATCCCTTCAGCTCGAGGAACCCTCTCGAACGCGAATCAAGTGTACGTCTAGAGGCCCGCTTTCGAATGAGACCACCCCCGCGTCGATAGCCCCCGAGGTTCGGGAGTTACGGGTGGTAAAATTTGCGGTCCAGCGCTGACCGATCAAGCTATCCCGGTGGGCTACCGACGTGCGGAGGGTGGCGTTCGAGAGGGCTCCTCGAGCTGAAGGGATCCCCCGAATTTGGTGGAGATCCGCCGGCGCGTTCGCGAGATAGTGACACCAGTCAACACTTTCACTTCAGTAAGGAGGTCTCTTGTTCAGGCAGCAGCATTCAAGTGTGGTCTTATTCGACCGTAAGTGCCCTGCGAAGTGGACTTCACATGATATTCCGCCATAATTCCAGTTACAAGGGAACGTACACGTTACATTCAAAGGGCATTAAAGTGCGCGAGACGTGAATTTATATTGTATTTATTTACAGTGGTATATTATGTCACATTTCTCTAGTAAGTTTCGTCTGTGTGTGACAGTAGTGCAAATCCGTGAATTAATGTTCCGAAGTGAAATAAACGTCAAAGGAATAAAGTTGAATGGAATTGAATTGAATTAAAGTTGAATAAACTTCAACTTTACTGTTCAGTGCACTGATGTCAGACTCATTTTGGATAATAAAGTTTGTTAAATGCCCTGCCTCCATTACGTATCTTTGTCACGTCATTATAAGTGTTTGATCACCACATTTGAGTGATAATTGCAAAAAATGTGTTTATGTATATATATATATTCTGTTTATGTATATACTGTATTCTATATATAGAAGCAAACAAATGTTTGGACACACGAATGGGAAAGTGTCCAAACTTTTGACTGGTACTGTACTATAATATACACAAAGAATATCGGACGATATATCGATATCGGCGTTTATTTACTACCTAATATCGGTGTCGGCCCCAAAAAACCCATATCGGTTGGGCTCTA